GGATGTCAAAAACACCTGGACGTCCGACTACATCCAGTCAGTCCACGTTAAAGAGCAATACACCTTTACCGGTTGGAATTAATTCCTCTTCATTTGTTTTTCGTACGTGGATTAGGTTTGTTTTGTTGCTTCTTCTTCTTAAAGTTGGCTCGTCTAGAACCCCATTATCAATCTGCTACGGGGTTTGTATTTCTTTAATCCAATTGGAATTGTCCTGGGCGAAGCTAAATGAAACGTGAATTTGAAATGTCGAAAAAAAATCCAAAAGAAAAACGTGTTTTTCCCAATTATCTGTTTCATAGCTAATAGGCTAGTTCGTGGTGCTAAAGGCGACATGAACAGAGTAGAAGACGTAAAGGTTGCCGACCACAAAACCTTAAAGAAGTCACAAGAAAAAGCTGTCCATCTACGAGAGCGAACAGAAAAGTTGGTTTTGTTTCCGACATGTAGCCTACAGCGCCCCCTTCAGATCACAGAGACGCGATCGATTTTTTTGGCGACATTTCAAAAGTTTGCCTCCAATTTGCTTGACGGTTAAACGGAAACTAGGCGGAAACACGGCTTGGTTGGTTTTCTGAAACATTTCGTGACAATTAACTCAAAAAATCTGCCCTAAAAGTCCAACATTTTTGAAAGGAACCCAAGAAATCACGAGTGTTTAACACCTGACTTCAGGTTTAAACAGGACATCCAAATTCAACCACTCAAAACAGCAGTAAAATCCCATGTTGGGTTTTGTTTTGGTGCTTACAGTCCTGACAGCGAGGCCCGGTGTGTCCTGGAGGACAAACGCATCGAAACCCGTTGATCTCGTCGATGCAGGTCGAACCTTCGGCGCACGGAGACGACTGGCACTCGTCAATATCTGAAGGAGGAAACCAGAAAAGCAGAACAGTTAACCGGCCGGTCTGGACGCGTCCATTCGAGGTAACCAAACGGTAATCATGAGAAGTGATGACGGACGGAGATGAATTACCAGCGAGCAGAAGCACCAAGAGCAGAAAATCAGACAACTTCTGCTTGACTAATAAGAACCATAACGTGTCGGTTGGAGTGATTCTGATAAAATGTCGAGGCTTTAGGCTCAGATTTGGTTCGTTTTCCTGATTAGTTCAAAACTCCGATCATTTCTTTTGTTTTTATAGTTTCTTGCTCCGATAAATGGCGTAAATTTGATGATTTTTAAAAAGAAAACGCAGCTTTTAAACTTGTGGGTTTTGAGGTTCAGAGGTTTAACTTCAGCCGAGGGGGGAAAAAGTGATTTCAGAGAGATTTCAGTGTTTTTGTAGGATCTGTTTGGTGTAAACTGTTTATTATAGGTGGCTTTTTTTTTTTTTTAATTACACATGTAGGATAAAGGGGTTTGGATAAAATATCACTGTTTTAGGATTAGAGCTGGAGCTGAATTTGTTTGAATACTGTCTAAAAATTGGAATTCTTTTGTGTTTTACAGTTTCTTGCTCTGATAAATGCTCTGATTTTGGTGATCCTTAAAGAAACTTGGTGGATTTTGAGGTTCAGAGGTTTAACTTCAGCCGAGGAAGTGATTTCTGAGAGATCTAAAATGAAAAATTTCATTTAATTTAACTTTAAAATTAGACTTCTACAATACAGTGATTTTAATGTAATATCTCGATTTGAAGCTCAGATTTGGGTAATTTTTTACCACGTTAGCCATGATTTGTTTAGAGACTGTCTGAATATTGGATGTTTTTTGTGTTTTGAACAGTTCCTTGCTCTGATAAATGGTCTGATTTTGGTGATTTGCTTTTAATTTTAGGAAACCTCCAATTGGTTTTGGGGTTCAGCTGAGGAAAAGGTGATTTCTGAGAGATTTCTGTGTTATTTTTTAATATCTGTTTGGTTTAAACTGTTTTTTATCTGTGATTTTATTTTATTTTATTAAACTAAACATCTACAATGAAGTGGTTTTCATGAAATATCCTGATTTGAAGCTCAGATTTGGGTGATTTTCCACCACATAAGACACAATTTGTTTAATAACCATCAGAATTTTTGATTTTTTTTTTTAGTTCTTTACAGTTTCTTGCTCTGATAAATGGTTTCATTTTGGTGATAATTAAAGAAACCTGCTGGTGAGTTTTGAGGCTTTGAGGTTTAACTTGGAGCGTTTCTCAGAGATTAGAGTGTTGATCTAAATACCTTCAGTGAGTGACGGGATTCTCAGAATCACTTTCTCCACAAAGCTTTGATACCAGCCTGGTTTGAAGCGCTTCAAACGGATAACACCGCGGTTCTGAAAGGTCTTCTTTCTCCCAGAAGGCCGCGGGAGAGCGCACCGGCCCGTCTGCCGGCGCTCGGCTCGGCTCAGAGGGCTCGGGGGTTAACGCCGGCTTCCTAAAGAGCTCCTAATCTGTCGCCCCGAAACAATCGGCTCGCACTCCCCCGCCGAGACCTTTCACCCCGACCCCCCGCCCGCCGACCCCGACCCTCCGGTTCCCAGGACTCACTGATGCGACAGTCCGGCCCGGCGAATCCTGGAGCGCACTCACAGCGAAACCAGTTGACGCCGTCCACGCAGAGGCCGCCGTTGTAGCTGCAAGAGACAGAAAGACACAAGTTTAAAAACACAGGAAGGCGTCGAAACAGAAATAAACACGTCAGACGAGGCGAGAGTCTCCACAGGACACGTTCCTTCATCGAGGAAAATTGCCGAGAAGGAACGTTTTTAAAAATGCGTCACAAACTCAAACTCACAAACTCTGGTAGTCCGAAATTCCTGTCGTTCAAATAAACACTTAAGTGCCAAAAAAACTCCTCTAAAACACCGACATCAGAACTGGAAATCATACTTCTGTATATAATCTGCTCCTGCAGTGCTACGTCTCTGGACAAAGCACAAAAAGCTGCAGTTTTTTAGCAAACTTTACTCAAAAAAACTGCATCGATTGTCACAAATAAAGTCAAAAATATTAGAAAGAATACACTATTATAGCTGCATTTCCGTATAATTATGGATTTAAAATGATTTTATTGTGAAATTTAATGTGTATAATTTAATCTAGAGATAGATTAGAGAGAGGAAGTAAAATCTCCAATGTGAGCAGCATCCGTCACCGTTTCTTCTCCGGCACATTTAAGACAAAAAAAGTGCTTTCTAGTAGAAAAAAAAACCCCATCAATATTTGTTTTAAAAAATAGCTTAGCAAGTGCAAATATTGAAATTAGGGCAATATATTACTATTAATGTGTGATTTTACCAGTTTCTTTATACAAATTAGGGATTAAAAGGTTATAAAATACTCCTTAACCTGACTATAACACACCCTACAGTGGTATTAATCATCCGTAAATGTAAATAATTAATAATAATTCAGCTAAAACTCATTGGAATCAGTAATTATAGAGGCTGGCTCGACTAGTTTAAAGTCTGAGCTGCGAAATATAAACCCTGCACTGGTCTAGTTTGTAGAAATTCATTGGAATTCCTTGGATCCTTCCGATCTTTGGATCTAATTTCACAATTAAAAAAAAAGAAAAAGAAACACAAAAGCCACTTTATCTCTGTGTCACGGCAAGAAACAGCATTTTGGTAAACATCCAGTTCGATGAAGATCTTCTTTGGAATTTACCGGGAAAGTGAAACAAAACCTGACAGGTGTTGCTCCTTCCATTAAAAGCAGCAGAGATGACTCATGGATCCAAATTAAACCTGCTGAGGAGCTTCAGTCGAGTTTTTCTGGAGCTGATCCCGGATCAATGTCCAGACTTCATATGTAAATGTGAGCGGACCACATGCCGAGGCCCTCCAGCCCTCGCGGCTACCCCCAGGTTGGTGAATGGCGAGAGGGGCGTCTCTTCACACTCCGCTGCCCCTCTCCCCCTTCACCTCGTCAGCCCCGAAACCACCGCTAATCCACCTGTCACTCACCGGAGGGGAGGCAGGGGGACGGGAGCATTTACAGGGATGTAGAAAAGTGGGTTTGGTGCTAATTTTGCCAACAAACAAGTTAAAAAAAAACAGACAAAAAACACGCCTAAAACTCAACTTTGTGTCTTGTTTTGTCTGAATAAGAGCCCAAAACTTGAATATGTTGGATTTAAAATTAAATAAACCAATGTAATGTCATAGAAAGACACATATTTACAGAAAAAAAGCAGTTTACAGACCAAAAAACCACACTTAAAACCCAGCTTTGTGTCTTTTACAGTCTTGTTTTGTCTGAATAAGAGCCCAAAACTTGAATATGTTGGATTTAGATCACAGAAACACACCTGGTTTTATTTACAGACACACAGAAACACTGTTCTGCAGCGCTGACGCCAATCTATGTCTCGAAAATGGGAAAAAAATCAGGAGCACAAAATCAAAGGATTGCCAACGTGTCGCTGAGAACCCCTGTAGCTGTTTCGGAGCCCTTTCATACTCTATGCAAGTCGGAACAATGCTTCTCGGGGTTTGTTGGAGTTTATCCAGAGAGACTAAGAAAAGTTGGAAATGTCAGCCGAGCAGATGTTTCGATGTCATTAACGGATAAAAGCGAGTATCAAGGAGGCTGTGCCCCAACGGCTCATCTAACAAACCAAGATTAGAGCGAACTCAGGTCTACGTTTAACGCCAAAAATCCAACCTGAACACCTCGACGCATCGATGAAAGACACCGAGAACAAGTTTCTGGAAACATCAGCTGTTTGTGGCACCAGTTAAAACCAATCCAGCATCACAGAGCAGAAGGAGAAGTTTACAAATACATTCATTCAAGGCGGGTTAAAAGGTTTCTGAAAACCAAAACACTTTTTAGTATGATGATAAAACTGGTCTTACCAGGGATGTGGATTGCAGTCGTCAACGTCTACGAGAGAGAAAAAAGACAAAATAAACCTTCAGATCTAACTTCTGACCAAAACCTGTTCAGAACGGTGACCTTTGATCAGGTATTTCATGATTATATCAACTATATTAGTGCTCCACATGCTTTTGTCCTCAACAAAAGAGGTCCCTGGTTCCCCCTAGCTAGTCTCACCTATACAAAGGTCTGTTAACTCCTGGGTACATCTTTTTTGGTTCTTGAAGAAGTTCCACCATTATCCAAGTTAGTTGTGAGTTCTAGATTTTTATTCTCAGCCCCAAATCATACAGTTAAAAGCCCGTTAACATCCCACATGACTCAAGTTTGAATGGTTGTCAAACTGGTTGGCGAGGGACTGAAATATGAGTACCTGATAAGTGGTGGAGTCATGGACCACCTCCCCTCGGGATGTTGGTTCCTGTTGATGGCCTCCTTCACTACTTACTCAAAATATCTCGTCTTCTCTGTCCAGAATGTCATTAAAATGTGTCCCTGGCTCTCCCTAGCTAGCTAGTCTCCCCTGTATACAGGTCCGTGGACTCCTGGTTGTATTTTTTTGGGGATTCTTGAAGATGTTCCACCTTCATCCAAGAGGTGTCTCCAGTTCTAACTGACTACTTGGGACTTCCTATTATTCTCAGCTCCAAAGGTCCACTCACTGTAAAATTGCTTGGCGACAGATGCGCAGACCTCATTATAAGTAACAGATGAGTGATGTTATACTCCATCTTCAGTGGCTAGACATGATGGTTCCAGTTCATGGCTTGCTTCACTACTTTCTCAAAACATCTCATGTTCTTTGTCCAGACTGTGAATCAGAGTTTTCTCGCCGTTGTTCAGTCCTCACTATGTGCAGGTCTGTGTACTGTTGCCGAATCAGACTGCTCATAAAACATTGCTCGACTACACCACTTATCGGGTACTTCCTCCATCCCTTCCTGGGCAGATACACCACCATCAACCCCTTGAGTTTTGGATATGCCTTCAAGAACCAAAAAGAAGTCCAGTTGCCTTCTCCTGGAGGTTTTCGGACTATCATGACCTGTGAATCTGTTCTGCTGTTTTTACATGTCATACCAAGAGACTGTAAGCAAAGCATGACATTAGCGCTAACTGACTCCAAAATGGCACCAAAACCAGCTCAAACGGCTACATACTCTGTTCACAAGTGGGTCCTTTCCAGCCGTCCTTGCAGATACAAGTGAAGGTATCTCCACCTCCGACACAAGTCCCTCCGTTCTCGCACGGACCTGAGTCGCAGGTGCTGTTCTTGGCTGAAACAAACAAACAAACGAGGTTATTTCAACAGCTTCTAACAACACGATACAACACCGTGCAGACAGATTAAAGCCGACTTCTTACCCGTGTTGCAGGTGCTGCCGCCCCAACCCGAAGGGCAGCTGCACAGAAAAGAGTCCCCGTGGTCGTAACAGGTTCCCCCGTTGCTGCAGGTGGTTGAGTCGCACTGGCTCTCACCTGCACCGAGGCATCGTGGGAAAGAGAGTTCACACGTTTCACTTGGTGTTAGCAAGCGTCTACTTCAGCTACAAACAAGACATCAGACGGGGAAAACTTGTCCACAAAGCAAAGGTAAAGCAGTTAAAAACAGAAAACCACCCGGATTGTTGGAGAAGACGGAAATCAAATCGAGTTTATCTTTGTAGTTAGTTTTAAAAATCCGAGTTGACCAAAGTGTTAACAGTCTGGCAGCAACGAAAAAGTGCAAAAAACCATCAATTTGTCAATAAGGACAATAAACTGGTGCAAAAACAGAGAACAAGTTAAAGTCTAAGATAAAAAAAAACACTAAACACCAAAACTGAAGACCACTATTAGCTCCCAAAAGCCACTGAAAACATGTACGTCTTGAGATTTTGGTTAAAAATGTCAATGGTTGAAGAACTTTTTATTGCGGGACGAAGGTTTGGAGCCGGAAATGCAACGATTAGCTTAAACCACGGAACAACAAGATGCTGCACCAAGGTTTTGTTGAGTGATACTGACTGACCTCATATAAATAAACAGACGGATGTCCTTAAGGGGTGCTGTGTTTACCAAAAACCCGGAATCAGCCTTTTCTTTTTCCATTGCAGCATGAAAATCCAACATTTTTAACTTTGTGTGCGGCAAAACAACGAAAACAGAAGCTACTCTGGTTCTTTGCAGGAAACAGAACAACGGAGGTTTGTTGCGTCCGATTGAATCGTGAACTTTACGTCATTGGCGGACTTGTCAGCGAGGAAAAGATTTCGTGTTCGTTGCATAAATTACGAGCAGGGAAATGCAAAGCGACTGTTCTACGACAAGAAATATCGTGAACGTTTCTTAAAAGAAGAATAAAACTGCGCTTGTTGTCCTGACAAATTTAACCGATCAGCGGAGAGTCACGTACGAGAGTTTTTCAGGGGGCGACCGGTTTGAAATGTCGAATTTACAGAATGTGGAACTTGTGTTGTTGCCCCTTTTTATTTTAATGCACTTGATTAGTAACAACAAGTCTTGAGTTCAGTCCTTTAGTGGTACTCAGACTATCGTGGTCATGAGTTGACCCTGGAGGAGGTAAAACATCCCTGAGAGAAGTTCTTGCAGTGGGAACAAGTTCAAAGGTTCCTAAAATGTCCTAAAGCGCGACGAGGCGTCTTGAACTTACGCGAGTGGCAGGTCTTTCCCTTCCAGTTGTCGACACAGTTGCAGTAGAAGTCGTTGAGCAGGTCGACGCACCGGCCTCCGTTCTGACAGGGATCCCGGCTGCACTCGTTCACATCTGGAACAAACAGACAAACTTCTAACACCTTCGTCTTGCAGCTTGCCACATATTCTCAACACATCCTCCGCTGCCGAACTCTCTGCGAGGACACGCGTGACTCAGACGGTGACTTGGCAGAGCTCTTCCTACGCGTCTTTATACCTGGACGATGCTTTTTTTTTTTTTTTTTAAACTCCCACTCAGGACTCACCGACATCACACAGGCTGCCGTTCCAGCCGTCTGGGCAGAAGCACTTGAAGGAGTTGATCCCGTCGATGCAGGTTCCTCCGTTCTTGCAGGGCGATGACGCACAGTCGTTGATGTCTGCGGGCGAAAGGCAGAAGCAGGTGGCTGAGTCACTCGTTTCAGCCTCGGTTCGGACTCGGTGATTCAAATCCGAGGCTGAATAATTTAACCGGAGGAACATCCAAAGCACAGGAGCTGCGGCGAGCTTCAGATGAAACGTCTCACAACGAGATGCAGCGACTCACGAATGGCTTGCATCGCCGAAATACCCAAAGACTGCTAAGAAAACTGCAAAATGATTCTTTTTTCATATTATTCTGCCCTCATTCAACTTTTTAAAAGCATAAATCCTACGAATTTCCTAAAATTCTTAAAAATATTTAGATTTTTCATCTTGTTTCTGCTGCACATTTTTTAAGTTCCTACATTTTCTGAACGTTGCAGCTCAGCGATGGTGAAAAAATGGCTGAAACGTCCTGTGAAAGTTTAAAAACCAAAATAAAATAAATATAAAACACCACAAAAATACACAGAAAATAGGACGTCAACATGTAAGATCGAAATCGTGTATGAAATAAATATAAAAATACTAAAAGATTAATTAAAAAAGCCAGTAAAACCATTCTATATGATTTCATAGCTCAGTAAAAATTCATATTTCATGTTTTTTGTCATTCTTTATTGTTTTTATGCTATTTTATAATGTTTTATAGTCTTTTACTTATGTTTTACTCGTGCTTTTTAATGTTTGTTACTGAGTTCTAATACTTGCTTATCTTTTTTAATGCTTTGATGTTGATTTTTTAGCATTTTCTTGTCTTTTTTGATGATCTGATGCTGGTTTGTAATGCTTTATAATCTCTTTCTTATATTTTACTCGTGCTTTTTAATGTTTGTGAGTTCTAACATTTTTTTTGTCTTTTTAAATGCAGATTTTTTCGTTTTCTTGTCTTTTTTTAATGTTTTATTGCTGGTTTCTCATGTTTCTTGTCTTTTCTGTTATGTTTTGATATTGATCTCTAACGTTTTCTTGACTTTTTTAACATTTAATTGTTCATTTTTATTGTTGCTTTTCTGTAAAAACTTTATTATTAATATTATTTTTCTATTTCAGGTGATTCATCTCTGATCCTGTGAAACCTTCTGCAGACACAACACTCTCTGCTCAGGTCTGGGTTCCCCTCTAGTGTCCCTTCCCGCTGACCGAGACGTTGATGATAAAGTGAAACTGGAGCGTGAGTTCCCGTCAGAACCGTGAGCCGGTCGCCGACGGTAACGGCGGATAAATATAGCCGTGCAGCCGGCGGTGACTCACTCTCGTGGCAGTAGGTGCCGGTGAATCCCGGCTCGCAGGAGCAGCTGAAGTTCCCGGCGGGGAGGCTGATGCAGCGGCCGTGAGGCCCGCAGACGTTGGACGAGATGTGCCACACCTTCCTCTGGGTGTTGTTGGTCGCCACGGCAACGGTGCAGCTGTCAATCACTGTGTGTGTGTGTGTGTGGGGGGGGGCAATACAATAACCGATCAATCGATAGAGAAAGTGATAGTCAGCGTTAATGATTATTTATGAGAATCTGCTGCAATAAATTCACTTCAATGCAAGTTTCAGAGAAAAAAACAGGACGAAAACTCGTAAAATGTACAAAATAAAATCGATAAAAAATACTAGAAACTTGTAGATTGAACTGAAAAATGATTATACATTAACTAATAATTCAATTTTCTAAGTAAATATTTGAGATTTATGCAGTTTTTCTTTTAAACTTTTTGGGAAAAACAGCGTCATTTCCTGTAAAATGTAAAATTCTGTACATTCATTTGGTTAATTTACTGTTTTGCTATTTAATGATAACGTCTTATTGACTTTTTCATGGTTTCGGTTTCTATTTTAACGCTTTAATACAACTGTCTTCATCTTTTAAGGTCTTTTTTTCCATTTCATTGTCGTTTTGTTTGTTTTACTCCCGGATGCTGCGTTACCTTGGCAACGGTTGGTCTTGCAGTGGTCCTTGAGCTCCGAGCAGGTCTTGCCCTCGTAGTCGTCGGGGCAGCTGCAGTAGAAGTCCCCGGCCCGGCCGTGACACTGGGCCTTGTTCTGACACGGGTTCGGGCTGCACGGGTCGTTCTGCACCTTCGAGGAAAGAGAAAAGTTTTACATCTACGTGTGAAAGAATCCGCTCTTGTGTCAACGTCCTGTTTGTTCTGTTAAATAAAGTTTTGCATCGTCTCCGTTTGGCGGCTGTGAAGCTGCAGGTTTCCCGTCTGCAGGATTATATTTATTAGGTTTATCTTGTCTTATCTTAACAGAGCTCCACCCACGGCTCGGCATCCGCCTCAACCACCGATTAATTGCAGACGTTAACCGTCGTGTAATCGTCGCCCCATTAAGCAGTTAAGCTCGTTTATAAGAACCCACCAGACGCTGGAACGGCTCTTCAAAGTCAGAAACCACCTCAAGCCGACGTCAAAGCTTTTGACAAATGTTGGAGTTTAAATGAACTTTTTCTGATGAAATACTTCAAATCATGCAAATATATGATGGAAATACAGTAAATAAAGTGACTATAGGTGGACGTGAACTTTAATTAGTTTTGCTAATTTGACATTTAAACCTGTGATAAACATTTTTCACAACATGTTCACATTTTGTCAGATTAACTGCAGCAGGATCACCTACAGTCGTCCAAAAACATATTCATCTCCTTCCATTAAAGAAAAGGCAAAACTCACAATAATCACTCCAATAAACTGAAAAAAGCAATAATAAATAAAAATTTGCTAAATTATAATTTAGTGAAATAAGACGTTGCTTTTGAATTGTTGTTAAAAAGAATAATTTTAAAAAATAAAATAAAATATTAGTTTACGGGTCCCATAATGCTTGTTTTTTAAAATTTTCATTTTTTATTTAATTTTCAAAAAAAATATTTCTATGGAGTGGTGAGAGCGCCAAATTACAAAATTAAATCGATATAAGAATTTCAAAAAATAAAAGTGGAAATATAAAGAAGAATAAATAAAATAAAAAATGAATTATTTGATAATATAAAGCAATATTAATCAGAAATGAATCCATAAAACAAAAGAATAATAAAAATAGAAATATAAAGACAAATAAATAAAATCATTAAACATATTTTTTATTTTTTAATTAATTTAAAAAATATTATTTTATTTCTTTCATTTTTTAAAAACATTTTAAATTTATTATTTTGTTTTTTTCATTTTCATTTATTTATTCATTTTTTAATTTTAATTTTTATTTATTTATTTATTTTTGCTTTTAAAGCGCCTTTTTAAACCACTACTCTAAAGCAGCGTCATGATGCTCATCACATTTTTATTTATTATTACTTTCATCAGTTTCAGCTTATTTCAGCTGTTTTTTGTTTCTAATGGGAGGGTATGAATAAATCTGAGCAGCTGCTGTTCTTCAGGTTCTGAACCGTCCAGACTGTGAGCCCGTTTCCTGGAGTCTGCAGATGCTTTCTCACCTCGCAGGTGGTCCCGGCGAAGCCCTGCAGACACTCGCACATGAACCCGTCCAGCACGGCGTGGCACCGGCCTCCGTTCTTGCACGGCCCGCTGCTGCACCGGTTCCTCTGGACCTCGCAGTGTCGGCCCACGAAGCCCGGCTGGCAGACGCACTGGTACCCTCTGGAGACCTCCTGGACACACAGCAGCAGTTTGTCTGTTTGGTTTCATGATCGTCGTGTTTCTGGTTTTGTTCCGGCGCCACCAGCACACGTGTGAAGCCGTTTATGAGGTTTTGGTTTTACGAGGTTCAGCTCCGCGGCTCGTAAAACCGTCACTTCAGGTAATTACGGTTAAAACCAAAGATCAACGTTTACCAAACACCACCTTTATCGACGACATCAGAGGCTTCAGGACAATTTACTGATCAAATACCTGATTAACCCACAAAGGAAGTGATAATTAGCCGCTCCCTGCTCACCCAGATTTACAGAAACCAGGAGACAAAACAGCTTTAATGGTTAATTATGTGAATCTACCACAATAAATTCACTTTAATACAAGTTTCAAAGAAAAAACAAGAAGAAAACTTGTTAAATTAATTTGTCAAAAATAATAAAACGGATATAAAATATGAGAAACCTGTAGTCGAACTAAGAAAATGAAATAATAATATTAAAAATATTTTTTAAAAAGCACAAAAAATACTTATTATTACACATTATTTATAATATATATAATATTTAACATTTATGCCTTTTTTTCTTTTAATGATTCAGTAAAAACAGAATAATTTCCTGTAAAGTGTAAAATTATAAACATTATTTAGTAACGACAGTTTATTCTGATGCCTGATTAACTGATTTACTGTTATTTTCTAATGTTTTATTGATTTTTTTATTGTTTTGTTTTCTATTTTTATGCTTTAATACAATTTTCTTTATCTTTTATGGACTTCTTTTTTCATTTTCATCATCGTTTAAAACATTTTATTGTCTGTTATAATATTTTACTTTTTAATGTTTTATTGACTTTTTTATGTGTCTTGTTTTCTATTTTGATGCTTTAATAGAATTTTCTTTACCTTTCATGTCCTTTATTTTAATTTTTATTATCTTTTATATCTATAAAAAAGTCTATTATAGTGTTTTACTGTTATTTTCTTGTGTTTTATTGACTTTTTAAAATTGTTTTGTTGTCTATTTTAATGCTTTAATTCAAATTTCTTTATCTATTTTTCATTTTTATAACATATTTTTTGTCTATTGTGATGTTTTTCTGCTGCTTTTTAATGTTTTATTGACTTTTTTATGTGTCTTGTTGTCTATTTTAATGCTTTAATACCAATATCTTTATCTTTCATGGATTTTTGTTCATTTTCATCGGCTTTTATTAAAATATTTTGTCTATTATAATGTTTTACTATTGCTTTCTAATGTTTTATTGACTATTTTTTTTAGTGTTTTGTTGTCTATTTTAATGCTTTAATTGTTTAATTGTTAATTTTCTTGCACTTTCTTTCTATGTTTTTGGATGCTGCTGTTAAAACTTCCCATTTTCTAATGTTTTATTGACTCTTTTTAGTGTTTTATTGTCTATTTTTATGGTTTAATGCAAATTTCTTCATCTTTTAGGGTCTTTTTTTCCATTTTCCTCGTCTTTTATAACATATTTCTGTCTATTTGTCTGCAAAGCATCTTTTTAAGCTTCTTTAAAGGTGCTGTAGAATCACAGTTCATTATTAATATGCTGTGATTATTGTTTTTTATCTTTGTGTTTGAGGCTAAATCAGGGCAAACTTCAGTCCAGATGTGTTCCCGTCTATCAGAGCAGGAACAGCCCTCTCACGCCCTGCGAGCCGAAACGCCTCCGAGCGCCTCTTTGAAGTCCTGACAGCTCGTCTGATGATCGACAGCGTTCATGTTCCCACATTAAGACAGAAAGTAGAAAACCCAACAAAGAGCTGAGTGCTGGGGAGCCTCACCTTGCAGGTTCCTCCGTTCTGACACTGTCCGTGGCAGCTGTTCATGTCTGGGGACGAATCAGTCGGAGAGAACGTTAGAGGGTTCCAGGTTCAGGTCAACAAACATGCAGCCAGAAAGATACGAGGTGCAGATTGAGAGGAGCAGCGAGCTGAGAATCGTGCAACTAAGGAGGAACTACGGCTAAAGGGTTAAAGTCTGGAAACACAGTCGTAGCTTTTAGTCGAGGAGAGTTTGCCAACGTGCTTCAGTCAGCCATCAGAGAGGTTTAAAAGAGGCTAAGTAGGGAGCTAAAACCCAGCACGCTTGGCTAACTAGCTTAGCTTCCACTGAAACTCCATTAAATTCCCTGCAGACGTTTTTTTAAAATGCTTTTTCCAAGCTAATTAGCACGCCGCTAACAGGGCTGCAGTAAAACACGTTTTTGTGATTCTAAAAACTGTACGAAGAATTAATATTTGATTAAACAGAATGATTCCATCATGATCTTAGCCATTAGCATGCTAATTAAAGAATTCGAGAATAAACGAATGAATGCATGAATAAACTCTAACTACAGCACGAGATGGGAAATGGGAAAATTTTTAACAACCTGCCATTTTAAATGTGAAAAGTCAGTGTTTTTTTCGTTAGCATTTGTGGGTCTTAGCCATTAGCATGCTAGTAAAGTCCAATGGGAGAATTTGCAACCTGGTTTGGTGATTTCCCCAAATATGGAAGGATTGATAAACCCCTACGACAGCACTAGATGAGCACATTTTAATAACTTGGGATTAAAAAAAAAAGAAAAAATCTGAAATTACTCTGCTAGCATTTGTTGGGCTTCTTCATTCGCATCTAACCCCCATGGGAGGATTTGCAAAATGTTTGGCGAGGATTAATAAACCCCGACTAAAGTGCTTGATGAGAAAATTTTTATATTTCAATCAAGAAAAACAAACTGAAATTGTTCTGCTAGCATTTATTGATCTTAGCCATTAGCATGCTATCAAAAACCAATGGGAAAAATGCAAAATGTCTTGGGGATATTCAACCATATTTAAAGATAAACAAACCGCAATCACAGCAGTAGTTGGGAAAATTTCTATGAATTTGCCATTTAAACAAAAAAAAAAACTGAAATTATTCCACTAGCATTTATTGATCTTTTCCATTAGCATGCTATCAAAGTCCAACGGAAGAATTTGCAACATGTTTTTGGAAAAGTTCGAACAAATTCAAGAATAAATAAATGAACGAAGGAGTAAACTCTTACTACAGCAGTAGATGGGAAAAATTTAACAACTTGCTGTTTAAAAAAAAAAAAAAAAATCTGAAAGCCCTGACATGGATTTTAGCTATTAGCATGCTATCAAAGCCCAATGGGAAAAAATGCAACATGTTTGTGACCATATTTGAAGATAAATAAACTCTAATCACAGCACTAGATGGGAAAATTTTTAACAACTTGCCATTTTAAGAAGAAAAAGAACTGTTAATTCTGCTAGCTTCCCTGGATCTTAGCCATTAGCATGCTAGCAAAGCCCAGTGGGACTGTTGTAACATGTCTCTGGGGTCCATATTCTTGGATAAACTGGTGTTGAAGCTACTAAACAGATGTCAGAGAGAAGAGTTTTAGCTATTAGCATGCTGTGCAGAACTGATTTAGCTTAAATAATGGACAGGCAAACTGGAGCTAGCTAGCGAAGGCTGCTGGGTTTGAGCTGGAGGTGCTACAGGAAGCTGGAAAGAAGCTGGAGACTGATGATTTTCTGGATCGATACTAACTGATGTCACAGTTCTGGCCAACCCATCCACGAAAGCAGGCACAGTGATATCCACCAATCAAGTTTTTGCAAGAGTAAGCATTGAGGCAAGGCTTCCCCGCACACTCATTAACGTCTGCAAAATGGAGGTGAGACATAAAGAGAACGAGTCAGAAGCCCCGTCACCAAGCACAGAATCCTAACAAATGCAGAAACGAAGCACAAAGATCGCAGGTTTCTGGTCGCTTCTGCTTTTCTGGGGGTTATTTTCAGTTAATAATCTCATTTATCCATCAATAAAAAAGGCAAAAACTGAGGCTGTTTTGCTAGCATTCGTTCATTGTAGCTACTAGCATGCTATCAAAATCCAATGGAATCTATAATGAATAATAAATAAACACTTAGGACAGCAGTAGATAGGAAATCTTTACAGCTTGTCATTTTAAACAAGAAAAAAACAGAATTATTTTATTAGCATTCATGGGTCTTAGCCGTTAGCATGCTAGCAAAACCTAACGGGAGGAGTTGCAACATGTTAAGATATCCATCCATAAGTAAGAATAAATAAAAAAACATATTACTAAGTGGGGACAACTTTCATTTTAAACCGAAAGTACAAGGAAATATTTTGCTAGCATTCACAGATTTTAGCCATTAGCATGCTAATAAAGCCCAATGGGAGGCGTATTAACAACATGTTTTGGGGATTTCTATCCATAATTAAGAAAAAAAAAAACTCAAATATATTACTAGATGGGAAAATTTTCACTATTTGCCTTTTTAAACCAAAAAAAAAAAAAAGAATTATTTTGCTAGCATTCATGGATTTTTAGCCATTAGCATGCCATGGAAGCCCAATGGGAGGCGTATTAACAACATGTTTTAAGGACTTTTATCCATATTTAAGGACAAACAAACACCACAGTACTACATTGTTGTATCTAATCTACAAATAAAGGCCAGAGAGCGCAGGTTTCATGGCAGCGTCTGTTTTTCTGGTTGTTATCTTCTGCAGATTATCTTATTTACCCAATAAAACAAATCTGAAAAGAACAAACAGGGATTATTTTTGCTGGCATTCGGTGTTTCAGGTACAGAGACGTTCCCGTGTGACGGCGTTGGACCCGTGGCGCTGTGCAGGGCGTTCCAAAGCTCAGAACTCTTTCCCACATCTTGATTAATGACCATCGTCATTCCTGTTTCTCACCAGCGGATCCGTAAAATGATTTCAGAGCCGCATGTGAGAATCACGTCCCGCTGTTCCTTCGACACGTTCTGACAGGATCCAAGAACATTTGAAAGTTGATTTGATTCCTGGATTTTCTTCTCCTTTTTTTTTTTTCTTCTTTCTCATGAGCGAGAACAACAACAATCCCAGTCGGTTCATTCACCGTGTTTTATGGATGATTAAACGATGAACGCTCAGCGGCCCAAACACAAGTCGACTAAACGCTGTGTGTAAACCAGCTGTAGACACTGATAGCAGAGCAGCAGGTCCTTAGTTTGTAATAAGAGTGTGTGAACAGAAAAAGTCTCATTTTCAGCCTTTCAGCCTTTTTATACTCGTTTAGTCCTCATGTGCTGCACAACGTTGTCCAGCTTTTGGTCCAGTCGGCTTCAAACAAGTCGAAGAATTCATCTATAAACATCATCTTTTGAGCAATTTACTGTTATGTTGCTGAGTTTTGTTAAATTATAGATAATATTAAAGACTATAACAGAATAAAACACATTAATTTACACGTTAACCCTTAAAAAACTGGTTGAAACTGTAAATAATGGCCAAAATACACAATATGTATTTCTACAAACTGTAATTAATTCTTCATTTAACATATTTAAATCTGCAAATTAATATTTTGCAGATATTTGCCGTCACTTTATAGAAAAAAAAAAAAGGAAACTCATCTGTTGGCTGTTATTTTACCGCCTGTTTTGTTAAATTACAGAAAACATCCAGTAAAATCACAGAAATAAATAGATTGTAAAATAAACAAACAAGCAGAAAAAGGCCAAATTTTACAAACAGTAATTTTTCATTTTACAACATTTGACCATAAACTTAGTTTTTTTCTGTATTTAAATCAGCTAAAAATATCCTGATTTTAATGATAGATTCAAAAATTTTCACTTTTTTTTTTGCACGTTACAGTTTTCTCGTGTTTTTTTCTCCAGATTTTTTTCTTGCACGTTTGCTGTCAGATTTTTAGTACAGCTTAATTTCAGCAACAAATTTCCTGTTTTACTCAAATAAATGCAAAACTCTGAAGCATTTAAACCAAAATAATAATTAGAATGATTAAGATGCTGATGCAAAAAGTTCTAATTTACCAGAGACGTTAAATAATGCGAAAAACGTTGCATTAAAAAAACATTCCTATTAGATCGAGCTGATTTAAATCAGCTCATTTTTTTTATTTTTTAAATGTATTTTTTTTCTAAAGATATTTGCTGGTATTTTACTGTTATTCTACATTTTTTTTGCACCTTTGCGGCCAGATTCTTACATTGTTTTCAGTTTGTTTTTTTTTTACAGTGTATCTCAGATCTTTGCTGCAGCTCCACAACATTGAAGCCTTTAAAGTCTCTAACGTGCGTTTTCCACCCAGCGGGAGGTGAAACCTTCCTGCGTTGGCTTCAGTCAGACCTCGGTGATACTCGCGACTCTTTTTCCAACGTGTAAGCTCGTCGGGACATTTACAGGCTGAGGTTCACGTCTGAGGAGGTTTGATTTCCTCCCCCGCCTCCCACAGGCCTGATGTCTCTCTATTGCATTCCCCGCAGGCCGACCTGCGGATTCCAAGTGGTCGGTTTCAGAGGCAGCGCTGGGCCGCCGCCGCCGCGCCCTCCATAAACCAACACAGCGCATTAATACCAGTCCCAGGAGGTGAGCGGCACCTGTTGGCCCGCTGAAACCCAACACCGCCGAGCCCTTTACCGAAAAACCAGCCCCCCCTCCTCCTCCCTCCCCGTCCAGAACCCAGCCTCCACCTCCCCCAGGTACCGCCCTCTGAGAGTAACAGCAACACAAGGCCCGCTCCGTGTTTACAGGTTCTAAAGGGTTTCCTGGCTGCGGCTGAAGGGCTCCGAGTGCCGGGGCGTCGCCTCACCGTAGCGTACATACCCCGCCCCGCCCCGGCCGGAGCCAAAGATAACCCCCCGCCAGGGTAAATTTGGTCCCAAGGCTAGCAGTTGCCAGGCGGGAGGTTATTTTTAGCTTTTACTCAAGTCACCTGGCTCGAGTTGCAGACGAAGACGACGCGTCTCCGGCGGCAAACACACACAAACACATTTTGAAATCGGCGGCGACTCAAACAAACCGGACTCCACGGAAACACGCGCCGCACGCGGCCGCTTCACAAAAACCACGAGTCAGCCGACGAGCTCGTACCGATCTGGCAGGTCTTCCCCGTCCACTGCGGAGGGCAGAGGCACTCGAAGCCGTTCTCCATGTCGATGCAGGTCCCGCCCTGAGCGCAGGGGCTGGAGGCGCACTCGTCCGTGTCTGAAACATAAGACTGATGTTAAAACCATAATCGCAGCCACACAACAAGTAAATAAACACGTCTCCGTGCCGTCTACGATACGCCGCGGTGTCGTGTGTCGGCCGCGGAGGCATTCGTAGCCGCTCGGCTGGAAAATCAGATCTTGGGGTGTTTATTCTCTTGATATGGAGCCAAGAGACGAGGGAATGTGGCGGCGACACCGGCCCGGGTTCTGACAGCAGCACGGGGGTCTGGTTCTAGTAATGCTGGTCTTCTTAAAGGGTTACACACATGTCTGATGAGAAGGAAAACTTTCTGTCATATGAGGCCTTAATGACACCGTAAAACACTTGTTTGTTTTCGTTCTTCTTTCGTTGTCATTTATCAGATTCTAACATCTTCTAAACGCTAAAATGTTCTGGATGACTTCACTTTGATGTTAGACGGTTTTAGCAGGAAGCAGGTCGATATGGAGAAAAGAAAACGCCGCATTGGCATCATGATTACAGGAGGAACTGAACGATGCTGAAACGTAACTGTGGAAGAAAATCCTTCGATAAATAGTTTGATAAGTTTAACTGAAATGCATCAGGTTGGATGCAAACTAGAATCTTAGTGAATGCTGCTAACGGTTAGCGGCTAATAGCAGCGTGAGCGGCCAAGTTGACGGTAGTGAAACTCTATTGGCGCTTGTTAAATATTTTCCCGCTACATCCCCGAGAAAACAACGTAACGGTCCAGTTTGCAAAGTCATCTTTCACCATTTTTGAACACTTTATAAACCAAACAACTGATCAGTTGATCCAGAAAATAAGAGACGTATTAATCCACAGAGGAAATAAACTACAAAAGGAAAGTTGTTGGGTTGTGATCTTGAGGTTTAGGAAACACTGACGTCTATTTTCCACCATTTTCTGACACAACCAACTCGTTGAATTATCAGACGAACCAACACTAACGTGGTCTTTATTTATTCCAGTCCTACCTTTAGCGCAGGTCGGCCCGGACCAGCCGGCCGGACAGTGACACTCGAACCCCGACGGAACCTCGTGACACGTTCCTCCGTTGGCGCAGGGGTTGGACACGCAGGCGTGTTCGGCTGCACAGACGTTAAACCACATCCACTCAGTCAGAGACACGGAAACTCGGATCGAGTTTTTATTTTCTGCTGTTGGGTTCACGGACTCACCGATCTCGCAGTTCTTGCCGGAGTATCCGTCCGGACAGGCACAGTTGTACTCGTCCGGCTCGGTGTTCATGCAGGTTCCTCCGTTCTTGCAGGGCCGGTTGGTGCCGCAGTAGTTCAGGTCTGAACAAGGAGTGAACATTTAGGGAAGAGGATAGCTTAGTGGACAAGTGGTGGCAAAACTGGACAGAAAAATGCATTTAAAATATCCGTTAAAAGCTTCGACGTCTCGTTTTTCTGCATCGGAGTTCCTCAACGTGTAAAATCCAACAAAACATGAAGAAGGACTCGACTGTTGGTGAAACATGTTTGCAGAAAACGTCGTTTGTGTTTCTAGTCTGACTTTTGTAGAAAACCTGACTTTAAAATGAGCATGTTTGTGACTTTAGCTCCTTGAATTTCCATAAATAATGAAGCTCTAATGCCAGACAACTGAAACAAGCTCATCCCAGCACAGTCACAGTTGTTGTTCTGATTAAAGATCTTTGCTGATTTTATTTGTTTATTGGTTTTAAAACCACATGGAACACAACATATATGAACATTTTTAATCCGTTATCGAGTCGCTTTTATTTAGAGGCGACATTTAAAACAAGAGAAGCTGAGCCACAGTAACATCCATCCATCATCTCGACACCTTAATCCTCACCAGGGCATCAGGGGTGGAGGCTGACTCAGGGTGAAGGCAGGTTCACCTGGACAGGTCACCAGTCTATCACAGGGCTACACTTAGAGACAGACAACCAAGCACACTCACATTCACACCTACGGACAATTTAGAATCACCAATTAACCTCAACATGTTTTTGGACTGTGGGAGGAAGCCGGAGAACCCGGAGAGAACCCACTCTGCACGGGGAGAACATGGAGACTCCACGCAGAAAGATCCCGGGTGTCCTCACCGGGACGTGAGCCGGTGACCTTCTAGCTGTGAGGCGACGGTGCTAACCACCTGCAGCCCAGTATTATCCATTTAAGATAAAATTATTAACGAATTCACTAAACGACTCATTTAAATGTTGGTTTTGATGCGACGGCTGAATGAGCTGCATCTAAAAATAAAAGTCTTGACTGTGTGATCTTGTGATTTTTGGACCTTTTTTTTTTTTTGGCACAAATTTCTTTTAGAATTGATCTAATCACACATCTGTTTTAACGTATTCTGTAGCTTTGGTTTTTGAAAGGTTCCACACAAATAATTATAATAATTATAATTATTAAGGATGAAACTTGACAGTTTGATAAAAAATGAAATGTGAAGAATCCCTCCGAGCAGCTCAGTGATAAACGTCCAGCAGAACCAGGTCCAGGGAGGGCGGGCGTCTACCTGGACTGGTCCGGCTGAGATGGGTCACGTCACAATATTCTTTTAGATGTACAGAAGAAATGATCTTCTCACCGAACTTGACGTCTTTTTGCTGAAAGCCGAGACCTCCAGCTGCAGCTTCGTTACGCGTACAGAAGCATGATGACAATAAAAAAGCGTTCTGATTCTACAAGAAACGAGCTCCAGGAGGCGTTTGGATCAGAGCTGGTGGGTTTCCTGGACGTTGTTTTGAGGTTTGGGTTATATATGCAAACACTTCTTTATTTAAATTGCTTTAAGTTATTTATTTAAGTTGTTGGATCCTGAAGAAGCGCTCTCTCTCGTCTTGCCTGTACTATTGTTGTTTGTACAGCAAGACGACAGTAGACCTGATGTGATTGGGTTCTGACCTTTGTCGCAGAGCAGGCCGCCCCAGTTCTTCTCACAGGTGCACTGCCACGGCTCGGTGCAGGTTCCGTGGACGCAGCCCGGATACGGCAGACACTCGTCGCAGAGCGGGCCCTGCCAGCCGTAGTTACACCTGGAACACACACATCACCAGATCCCTTATTACATTATTATTATTATTATTATATTACATCGGCTTCATGTTCTCTGGAGCCGCAGCCTGAAACTCCAACAAACGCTATCTGATAACCGGCTCGGATCGGTCGGCTCGCTGAAGGACAAGAAGTAAACAAACACATTGAGAAAGATTTGGCTCGACATCCACATGGAAGCAGCGACACTGTAGAAAAAAACTCAGTAGAAATAGAAAACATATGTTAAAAAACTACAGAAACTGGAAAAACGACAACAAAAAAGTCAAATTATTGATATTTTCTCGCTGATTAATTAAAGTAAATCTGTTTAAATTTATGGTCTCACATTATAAAAGAATATAAATACAGATTTTAATGTTTTTTTATTAATATTATCGTATTATTTACAGTTTTGCGCCGTGATTTTATTAGTAATTATCTGTCATTTAACAAAACTGGGAAAATTAACACTTAAAAATAGATTTACTATTTACAGTCTTTAATATACATAATTTTTCTCTTAAATAACAGCATTTCTCTGTAAAACAACATTTTTGGCAGATTTAAATGCAGTAAAACTGTAGTTTCATAGCTACACATTATAACAGAATAATATTTGTTAAAAAAACAACAACATACAGGTGCAAAATCTGGACAATATTTACAGTTTTGGCTCATTTTTTGTACAGTTGCTTGTAAAGCAGGATTTATTTTCTACAATTTTATTAGTAATTGTCTTTAATTTAACAAAACTGGGAAAATTAACAGCTAAAAATGATTTACAATTTCTAAGTCCTTAATATGCATCATTTTTCTTTCAAATAACAGCAAATATCAGTAAAATAATGATATATTGGCAGATTTAAAAGCAGGAAAACGGTGTAATTTCATAGCTACACATCGCAAAAGAACTAATTATTATTTGTAAAACTACAGATGTTAAATTTAGACAATTTTACAGTTTTTGGTTATTTTTTTTGTACAGCTACTATAAAAAGTAAGATTATTTTTTTTATTATTTTACTAGTTATTCTCTGTAATTGAACAAAACCAACGAAAAAAAAATCAATAAAATACGAGTTAAAAACAGGATGAACACACAGTTTTCTTCCACATGACGGCAAATACGTGCAAAATTATGATTTTTCTGATTATTTAAATTCAGTAAAAATGATTTTATTTGACAGTGAAACACAAGAAAAGAGCGAGTTACTAAAATAAATACAGATGTTGGATGCAGATGTTATTTTGGTCAGTTTTTAATGAAAAGAAAAAAGAAAAATCTGCAAAATCACACTAAAAACTAAAAGCTAACAGCTGGACTCCAGCCCCCAGCGTGGAGCGTTTCTGAGTGAATCTGACAGCAAACGTTATTTCAGCGTTGATGAAGTGTTTCTCTCGCTAACAACCTCCCAGACACGCTGATGGCGACGCAGCGATAATTAAAATGCTTTAATGCTTTTACAGATGTTGATGAGCGGCGGCTAAACGCTCTGCAGCCGCCGGTGTTGGGAAGTAATAATAAAAAAAAAACCCTGATTTGCATAAAGGGTTGAAGAGAACGTGGAAGATGGACGACGTGTTTGCTGCAGCTTCAACATTCCTGAGTGTGAGTCAGAGTTCTGGGCGTTCACACCACTCAAAGCTGCTTCGTAGATTTTGTTTTTAGCCTGTTTCTAGGAGCCTGTTTGCAAAAACTCCTCAAATCTGATCTAAACTGAGTCTCACCAACAGTAAAAAGTGATTAAAGCAAATTGTTTTAACACAATTTTGTAGAAAAACTGTAATTTTCTTGCTGCGGTGGTGCTTTCTACATGTAAAATAAGCCTTTATGGATCCCAGAGTGGAGAAATTTGCCATGTTAGAGCAGAAAAAGAAATTATTCTTGATGCACATGATGTAAAACGAGACTTCAGTTCACTAAATATTTTGATTATTTATCAGCTTTTGCTTTGATTTCTTTCATCATCGCATCTAAAAATGCAAAGACGTGTAAAACAGGTCACGTAATGCGACGTCAGAAGCTCCCAGAATTTAAATTTAAACAAATAAAAATGAAAAAAACAGTGACTTCTGATCTCACATGAGTCCTGAATGTTTATTTCTATCAGTAAAAATTGATATTTGAACATAATTTCAGAAGAATAAAGCAGACTCTGCTTATTCTAACAGCATATTTTATTACTTTTTATAAGATCAGATGAGATAATCTCACATCAGGGGAGTTTGTGTCACTTTATCTCATCAAAAAACACTAAAAGTTAGTCAAATATGTTCACAAATGGCTCCTGAACTCCAACATTTTGGCTTTAAATTGACATGAAGCGACAAATCCTCACATTAAATGAGCTGGAACCTCGTTTGGCTTCATCTGATTGTTTTCATTACTGATCGATCTACGTTTTGTTTTCCTTCATTATCTCACAGAAAAATGTAAAAAACTAGTAAAACTGGTCACATAGTGCCTCATCACGAGCTCCCAGACGACTGCCAAACTTCAAAACTTTAACTTTAAAGTGACTTAAAGCAATAAACTGCCTCAGTCGTTTGCAAAAATGAAGCCGTAGATGACAGAAAAATGAAAATATTTCATTCTAACAGTCTTTTTTTAATCTAATTTGAGTCCCTGAAGTTTTTGTTTTTCACTAAAATGTGATAAAACTGAATATTTGAGCATGATTTAGAGGAAAAAAGGCACAAAAACTGTGCATAGCTCAACTTTACTTCTGCAATGACACGTTTTATCACTTCTTATAAGGTCAGATGACATAATCTCCCAGCGAGGGACTTTGTGTTGCACCATTGCATCAAAAAATGCAAAAAATGAGCGCAAAAGGTTCCCAGATGACTCCAAAACTCCAACATTTTGACTTTAAGATGCCGCTGATGACAGAAAAAGTAAAACATTTCTTTCTAACAGTCATTTTTGATCTCATTAAAGTTTTGTTTTTCACTAACAAGTGATAAAACCAAACATCTGAGCATGATTTCGAGGAAAAAGGCACAAAAACTGTGTGCGTAGCTCAACTTTTCATCCTGCAAATGCACATTTTACCAATAAGATCATAATATCTGCAAAAACATTGTAAGAAAGCTTCCAAGACGACTCCAAAACTCCAACATTTTGACTCTAAGGTGTCGCTGATGATAGAAAAAGGGAAATGATTTCATTCTAACAGTTACTTCTGAGCTGATTTAAGTCCTTAAAGTTTCCGTTTTTCACTAAAAATGGATAAAACTGAATATCTGAGGGTGATTTAGAGGAAAAGGGGCTCAAAGTCTGTGGACAGCTCGACTTTTCCTCCTCATTATCACTTTTTTATCAAATGAAACAAACCCCCGGCGGAGAAATCTAAAAATGCAAAAACTATTCATGCAAGAGGTTCCAAAGGACTCCAAACTGGAGCCTTTTGCGTGAACGTAGCCGCTGACCGCTCCAGAACTTTTCAGCGGCAGGCGACTGGTCCGGAGCGTCTCGGTGCCGTGAGCCCGGCGGAGGTCAGGTCTGGAATGAGCGAGTGCAGCGAGGCTGTCGTGTCGGAGGGAGGGTTAGCTAATCTGTTGGTTTATGGCAGCACTCTGTTATTCCAAGGCCAGCGCCGGCCTCGCCACACCTGTCCTGTCACTTCTCCGCCGGCTGGCTATTTTAGGGAGCAGCAGCCCTCCTCCTCCTCCTCCTCCTCCTCCTCCTCCGACTCCCACAAACACTTCAAAATGGCCGCCGACCAAACAGCGGTGACGGTTGCAGCAGGACGAGGAGCTTTTAAGGTTTTTAGAATCAGGAATGTTGGTATTTTCCAGCTTTAAACTTCTTTAAAAGTCTTCGTATGGAGGCTTGACTTTACACATCTGAGACTTTCAGCATCTTTGGAGACTCAAATTAAAAGATGTTGTTTTCAAATCGCCCAAACGCCACCATCCATCAGACCAAGAAACTGTAAAAACTGAAATATTTGTTGGGTTTTCCGGCTTTCCGTCGGTCCTCGAACGGATCACATGTGACCCGTGGTTCAGTTGGGAAAAATACACATATAAAAAATAAATAAAATCATTAAAAATTCACCAAAAACAAAGCTTTTCCTCTGAACGAATTCTGTAAAAACCGAAAAAGTTCTGCGCTCTTGGGGCGACAGATCGTCCAAGACCGACTCAGTGGCGACCGACGGTCACATGACAAAAATTCAGAGACTTTTAGTCCAAAATAATTTTAAAAACTGTTGAAAAATATCTGAAACTTGTTCAAAATGGGCCAAAAAATGTGTTCAGAAGAGCAGTTATTGGAGTCATTTGGACAGTTTTGAGCTGAATCTGTTTTTTTTCCACATTTTTAACGTGATTTTGATTAAATATGATTTTCGATTGGGTCGGGTTCATTTGAATAGTGACTCATGATCTCAAGGACCATCAGAAAGTTGAAAACACGACGAGTCTTCATGTTTTTACAGTTTATGGCAGTTTTTTTTTGTTTTTTTTTAAATGTGGGTTTTAATTTCCTCTAATTCTGAAATTGACAAAACTAACTTGAAACCTGCTCAAACTGGCTCCAAACTGGGCCAAAGTAACAAAAAAACGTCCAAAATTACTGAAAATCTGTTTAAAATGATCCCAAATCTGTTGAAAACAACAACATCTGAATCATTTTGGACAATCATCGGTCCAACTTTGAGT